TAGTACGTTGGGTACTCCTTGGCATCTAACTGGAAATTATAAAAGTCCCAGGTCTAAGTCGGCGTCCAAGTGCTCTTCTCTACCCAGCCTACGAACAAACCCCAAATCACCTCCCCTCACCTCACCTCTCTCCCCACACCTCACCTTACCTCCTTCATATCATTTCCAAATGCCCTTAATATTCCCACTAAATCGGTCACCCTCCAGTTCGGCGAAGGTGGTTAAGTTTGACGCAACAGACTTTCCACGCCACCGCCCCCCTTATAGTATAGGGGGGCGGGGGAATCAAACCCGGGTTCAATCTCCGGGGTGGTTTTCGGCTACTTTTTTTTTCGCATTTTTGGATCTTTTTTTAAGGCTGGTCTTTTTTGGGTGGAGGTTGGCTGTGTTGTGGTGGGGGGAGGGTGTGTGAGGAACTGGAGGGGGTGGAGAGGATAAGTAGAGATGGATGGATGAGGTGGATGTGGAATGGTTGTAGTGGTGGCAGCGATACGCAAGTAGCAGCGGCGCGGTGGTGCATCACGTGTCTATCCCTTTTCTGACCTCACCTTATTGTTTGGGATTGCCAACTGAAGCGCAGGTTTATATCCCCCCCAAAACCATCACTTTCCAGTTCGGCGAAGGTGGTCAAGTTGGACGCAACAGACTTTCCACGCCACTGCCCCCCTTATAGAGTAGTCAGGGGAGCGGGGGAATCAACCCCGCGTTAATCCCCGGGGTGATTTTCGGCTACTTTTTTGCATTTTGGAATCTTTTTTTTAGGGCGATTTGGGGGGTTTGGGGGAAGTGTGGATGAGTGGGGCTTTTCTTTTGGAGTTGTGGAGGGTTTGTAGCTTGTGGGAGGTGGGATTTGAAGGTGGTGGTGGGTTGGGGGGAGGGAGGGCATCAAAACACCGCCAAGAGTCACTCCGTCAAAGTGCTTCGCCCCGTCAACGTAATGTTTATTCAAATTCACTAACAGGTCTCCAGATGCCGAATCAAAGACTCCACATCCCATCAACACCCAAAACGCCCCCATCCCTCCAATCCCTCAATCCCTCAATCCCTCAATCGCTCAATCGCTCAACCCCCCTCCCCCTCCCCCTCCCCCCGACCCCCAAAATCCTCTCCGCAGCCCTCTCTGCAACAACCATAACCCCCATCTGCGGATTCACCGTCAACGGCGGCACGACGCTTGCATCCACCACGTACAAATTCCGCATCCCGCGCACCCTCGTCTCCGCATCCACACAGGCCCCGAACCGACAGCTCGAGCTCCAGTGGTTCACTTGGCCCCTGGCGTACGGCGAGGGGGTGGTGATGTAATCTCTTATCTGCGCGAGAGTGGCGTTGGGCGCGATGTTGAGGGGTGTGAGACCGGAGGCCGGGAGGTGCGCGAAGAGACCGTGGATGAATGTCGCGATATCGTCCGCGTCGCGCGGGTGGCTGTAATATGTTTCAGCGCTGGCGCCGGGGATAAACCGCTCATCCAGCTCCACGCGGCCGGTGGAGAGGAGTCCGGACGTCCCGTACACGTTCAGCGTGATCGTGCTGCCGTTTGTAAAGGCGCCGTAGCCGGATGTGTCGATTGTGCCTTGGAGCCCGACGACATCGCCGGGGCCGTGGACGATGGAGTCCCAGAATGCGGAGGTCTGCGATGCGAAGGCGTAGGGGCCGGAGAAGGAGGTGAGGTATAGCGATCGGTCGCCTAGAGGCGGTGAGGCGTAGGAATGCGTGTAGGAGGATATGCCCGGCCCGCTGAGTTCGATGAAGGTGTTTGGGTTGTCGAAGAGACGGTCTCCGACGGCTGTGTTGTTGATCCAGGAGGAAGGGGGGAGGTCACCTAGCAGCCCCGCGGCCGCGAGACGGGTAAGGGTGCCTGGAGGCCCGATGCCAGAGGTCATGAGCAGTTGTGGCGATTGCAGGGCGCCGCCGCTCAGGATCACGCGGCCGGGGTCTGCGGCCGTGGCGCCGAGGTTTATGGTGTGGTCGACGCCGTTGATGGTGACGATGACGCCGGATGCGTGGTCTGAGAGCATTTCGGAGGCGGTGTCGCACATCCTGACGACCCTCTTAACTCTGGCGTGGGTCAGGAGGCAGAAATTGCTTCGGCGGAGGGAGGTTTGCAGGTATGTCGTCGCGGGACCTCCTCTCTTTCCGCGGTCGTAGTCGAAAACGGGACGGCCGAAGACCTTCGATTTGTCATTGGGAGACTCGATGTAGCTGACCTCCTCGTATCCGGCATTATCGACAAGCCATTTCCTCGCCGCCGTGTAACCGGACTGGAGATACCTGATCCCATCCGGAGACGGATTATCCACCGCAGGAATCCTGGACAACAATCTGGCGATGGCCGGGCGCATATCCGCCGCTTTCCAGGCGTCAGGGAAATAATCGTCGAAATCCGAGTCTGGAGGTTGGAAATACAGTCCTGCGTTCACGGCACTACTACCCCCAACAGTGCATCCACCAAACGCATTCGTGACCCCAGAGCACGTGAGATTCCCTTGGTCGGAGAAGATGGATTTGTAGAGCCCCGGCACGTCGACGCGGCTGAGGTTTGTGCCGGAGAGCCAGTTTGGGCGTTGGGTTCCGCCTGTGATGCCGTACGAGGGCCCGCCGCCTTCAATGAGGAGCGTCTTTTTGCCGGCTTCGCTCATGCGGTCGGCGATTATTATGCCGGCGGGACCAGCGCCGACGACGATGGTGTCCCATTGGGAGGTGAGGTCGCAGGATGGGGAGGAGCGGGGGTAGGGGGCGGCGAGTGTGGAGGAGAATATGGAAAGGGAGAGTAGGAGATAGGAATTCATTTGGGAGATTTTGTAGTATGTTTGAGGGAGAAGACGTAGGAATTTAATAGGGTGATTAGGATAGAGAAAGTTGACATGGTAGAAGAGAGCGAAGGAAGTGTAAATGTGATATAAGTATTTGTTCCTGCACGGTAGCACCTGCTGGCAACTAACACACAGACAGAAGTACGAGGCGGAGTACCTTGGAATTCAATTCCCGGACAAAATCACCTCTTCCGAGATGAACCTTTTCTTCGAAGTAGAGTTCGCAGAACCCCTGGTTGTTTGTACGATCCTTCTAGGTAAGCGAGGGTTCTCGCGCGCGACGTGATACCTTCGAGTCGCTACACAAGAGTCGCGGTCAACGAGCGCGGTCTGACGACCTGATGTCACTTGTCAGTACGGAATGTTTTGAGTTTTGTATCCGGATTGCTGGATGGAGTACCTGTTGGTCATTGTTGCAACAGAAAGGAAACTGCTTGGCAAGCGCAACTTTGAAGCAATACCCTGGGGTTGAACCCGAACGACGAGGCTGTCATCTGCAGACTGGTTGAATTTTAGACCATCATGAAATTTGTGAGTTGGAATGAGACGAGGGACGAAGAAGCTTTTGGTAGATGAATGCTTATATGAGTTTGTGTTGGATTTGCGCTGGGTTGTAAGCATTGACCTGGTCCGAGTCGAGAAGGTCTGCACAAAGTTCATCGCACGAGTCCAGTACATGTGCATGAAACAAAAAGAGATTTGACACGGCCTGGAATCTGCCTTGGAGCTTGCCACTCGAGCTCACCCAAGCGAATCTCTTCGCGATGGCAGGCATCGAAAAGTTAGTACCTTCGCACCACGTGACATCTAAACAATTCCATCTCTTAAACCAACCTCACGCTCAACCCAGCCTGCGTATACGGAAACACATTCGCCTCAATAGTCCTAACATCAGCAGCCAAAAACCACGCTCGAAACGGAATCCCGAGTCCCTGCTCCGGCTGTATAATATTGACATCCACCTGGTTAATCTTCGTGATAGCGGCGTATGCAGGACTGTAGTTGACAACCTGAGATAGCTTGAAGAGCTGCGTCGTGCTGTTTGCAAAAGGCTCGCATGGCTGGAAGGAGAAGGTGGCGTTTTGCTGGGCGTCGGAGAAGGTGAGGCAGAGGCGGTTGCGGAGGATTTGGGCGGTGGTTAGGTAGTTGATGTAGCAGCTGCCTGGGGAGACATATTAGCATATTCGAGGCCTTGGGTTCATCAAGGGGGAAAGCCAACCATGAGTGCAGCTCTGCTGCGTTGTACTCGTGCAGTTGGTAATCCGTAGGAAGCTGCCATCAAAGCCAGGTCTAGCCAAAGCCCAAGGAGATCGGCCGGTTGCGTTTGTGGGCGATATGACTGGGGCTGGCGAGTTTTCGTTGAAGTTGTTGTCGTAGAATTGGACTTTGTAGACGGAGCTCGTGGAGTTTTTCGCGATGAAGGTTGGGCAGATGTTCGAGGCGGCGAGGGCGATGGGGAGGAGAGCCAGGAAAGTGGAGATGGTAGATAGGAGCTTCATGATGAGAAATTTCGTCGAAGATGGAAGAGAGAAAGCTGAGCTTGGAATAACGGTGGTTGGAAAGGGAAAAAATAACGTGGAGGTCGGCATTTCTATACTTATACCTCGAGATGCATGTTTACGAACTTGTACAGCGTGAGAAACCCAAATTCGAGTTAATGATCAGCCCTGCTGCAATACTGCAGTGATCAGACCCGCATAGCGGCCCACTAGGTCATGTTGTGGTGGTACAAGTCGGAACAAAAGACAGAAGGGGACTCATCACGGTATTGGCTGAAAGAAGCGACTGGCGGTTGTCAGATCAAAAGAAGGAGTAAGTACTAAGAAAATATCGAGATGACAGTCAAATGCATCAGCGTGGAAAAGGAATCTAATGAAAAGCGACACGTTAGTAGATACCGGTGGGAAAGAAGATGGTGTTGAAAATTGGTGCATGGAGGCGTTGTACTGAGACGCGCTAAGAAAATCCCCGAAAATACTTTGAACAATCCAACGAGCCTCAAAACCACAATCAAAGGACTCGGGCGAAAGACAAAATTATTCAAAAGTTGCTAATCTATCGTTTCAACGAAACTCGATCGCGAAAGAGCGTTCAAAAATGAAGGAGACACAAAAAGCCCCTCCACCTCCCGCGCAATCAAAACGTGTTAGTTTCATAAAACGACTAAATTTCGTTTCAGCGCATGTTGCCCCTATGGCTCAGTGGTAAAGCGTCTCACTCGTATCGTCTCTGTGCCAATGAGAAGATCATCAGTTCGATTCTGATTGGGGGCACTTTTCCTTTTGCCCTTTAGAATTGTTCTGCTATCTTTTTTGACTCCATTTACCTTCTAACAACGTTTGTTTCAGCCTCTAGAATATTCGTTTGATGGCTTTTTGCTGGATTTCGCTACGATGGCGGGGCGGGATGCGGGACGGACGAGGACACCCGTTTCTATACTCTATTCGAAATGACGGCGTGGAAACTTGTAAACCACTGGAACCCCCTGATCTCCATCTCGACGTGTGCCTGTCTTCAGATCGCAGTCCCTGCATTTGTGGAATCTAATATAGATACCTGTACCTACTGCGCGTATAGGAGAGTTCGTTAAGGGCTTGACTTGGACTGCGTGGGGCTGTGACGTCACGTAGTCACGGCCTCGGGCAGTGCAGTACATTGCATTGCTCCAGCCATTAGAAATGGGCATATAAGAAGGTATCAGTATCCTATCCTTCACCTCAAGTCCATTTACAATAAACCATTGTCGTCTCCATATCCTATCAGAACTTATCTCTTCAAGCAAACAAACCATCGATAAAGAAAACTCCTAAACCACCACAAACCTCAACAACCTAAACAACAAACTCTAAAATGGGCTTGGGCAAGAACGAAGACCAAGGCGTAACCGGCGCCGCCAAATTCGTCACCTCGACACTCGGAAATACCGTCGGTGCCGTAACGTACGTCTCCTTCTCCCTCCCTCCCTCCCCTCTCCAAAACCCACACCCAAGCTAACACACCCTCCCTAGCAACACCCTCGGCGGCGTTGTCGGCGCCGCAGGCCGCGGAGTCGGCGAAACCGTAACAGCGGTAACGGGAGGTGTAGGCGAGCCGGTTGGAAAAGGATTGACTAGTCTGACGGATGGGGTGGAGGATGGGGCGGGCAGGTTGGCGAGGGGGACGAAGGATGCTGGGGAGTGGAAATGATTATTGGATGATTTAGGTTGGGATATACCCTTGAGTTGAGATGTATTGAGATGAGATGAATAGGAGTTGGATTTGGGGTTTGAGACTGATACACCGTGGATGGATGCGTCGAGATCTCGAGATGTACTTCGTGCCAGGCCAGGAGACCTCTGTGGGACTCGGCAAGAATATCATACGGTAAAGAATATCATCACGCGTGAACACAACTTCTGAGCTCGTGGAATTTCATACAAAGAAAAGAAAACATCTCATGCGACCAGTCCCGACGTACCCACATCAGCTATCCCAAAAAATGCACTAGAACATGCCATCTACGTGAAGTGCGAAGCCAAACCATGCAAGATCCTCCTCATCATAAATCTATCCTAATCATGTTTCGTCCTCCACATTTTCGTCCTCCACACACGGGCACATACCACCCAACCCCAATCCCACCACATCCCATCATAAGCCCCAACCAACATCATCACACACCTCAACTCTTCGGATCCACACTCGCCACCTCCTTAACATTCAACGGCTGACTACTAGCCCCCACCCCCAGCGGTCCCCCAGGCGTCACACTCCCACTCCCATATCCCTCGGGACTCCCCTTCTTCTGCAACGGTACGCCCACACCGCCGGGTCCACTCGGCCCACCCCCACCCTCATTCAACTGCATCTCGGGCACATCAACCGGCGTCTTGGTCCCGTCTTCGGGCGTCAGAATGCCACTTTCGGCGCTGGCGCCTTTGGCACCGGTCCCGCGCCGCCATTGCGAGCCGAGCGTGGCCGAGAGCTGCCGGCTGAGTGCGCCGATGGGGTTTGTGCCGGGCGTCGAGGGCGTGGTGACGGGGTTTGAGGTGGGTTGGAAGCCTGGGGCGCGTGGGGCGGGGGTGCCAACGCCGTCGAGGTCGTCGGGCATGGAGTGGTCCGAGGCGCCGGAGAGGGTGCGCGGGTGCATTGCTGATGGCGAGCTGGAGCCGGGCTTCTTGTTTAGGATGCTGAGGGGGTTGGCGACGGGGGTGTTGGAGGTGCTGGGCATGGGGTAGGCGGCTGAGACGGGGTTGGAGGTGGGGTTTGCCATGGGGGTTGGCATCATGGAGGTATCTTCCATGATACCTTCCATTGGAGACATGGCGCCAGATGCTGGAAGAGAAGGTGGGACGGGGATCTGGATGTCCTGGGGAGAGGGTGGAATGATCTCTTCTCGGAGGCCCGGGATCTTGATGCGCTTTGCCTGGTTATTGTACGAAGCAGGGATGATCTACGAGAAGTCAGTAATGTGTATAACGGATAGCAGTACGTCTGGGGGGAAATGAGCAAGGTGGAATAAGGATATGCCATACCTCAATGACTTCATTTCGTGGAAACTCCAGTTTTGGAATGTCAGCAGCGTTGCAAGCCATAAGGTACCCGTACAGGACGCGCAAGACAGACTCGTGGGCGATGATCAAGAGATCGTTTTGCTCCCGCTCGAGTTCGAGAATGATAGGCTCAAGACGGACCGCCAGGTCGTGGTAAGACTTCGGAGTGTTAGCAAATCAACCGCTTTGGACTTTTCCTTCACTCACTTCAGCTCTCGGATACCTATGATGATAAGGATCCGCTTCATGCTTTCCAACTTCGTCTGGATACTCTTCTCGAATCCTCTTTTCAGACATCTTCTCACAGACTCCTGGGTTCATTTGACTCATCTGTGAGCGCTGCCTGATCTTGTACCCCTTCATTGCGAGGTACTCGGAAGTCTCAATAGTCCTTCGTCTCGTCGATGTCCAGACAGTGAGCGGCTTCAACGCATTGTCCTTGCCGCCAGCATCAATCAGCATTTGGCGTTCTTCTTCGCGGTGCTTGATCAACGTATCTGCCATCTTTTGCGAATAATCTCTGCCTTCATCTGAAAGCGACGCATCTGCTTTGTACGAGTCTTCCTCTTTGGTCGTTCCGGCTCGCGCGAAATACGTCTGACGAGACTTGATGTGAAGATTGAGCAGATAGAAGACAATTCTTTGAGAGAGATAGCCGAACGCGCAGTTGTTCACCACCACTCGCTCTCCGGCGTTGATCATCTTGATCCAGTGCAACTCGGTCTCTTCCATGGTCTCAAAGTGGGGGATTCGGGCTGTGATACGCGAGAGGTAATGCTTCACGGCTTCTTCATCGCTCCATCCTACGTAGTCAGGGGACGAGATTTTGACGCTCCGGACGTTCTCTTCGATGATGCGCTCGTCATTGCATTGGGACTCGATGAACAACGTCTGGACTTGATGCTTGGCAAATTCTTTCGCCAGGGATCGTCTGCCATGGGAGATGGCATTCACAGCGTCGTAGATGGCCACTTGGCCGTTCTCGTGCTCGAGAAAGTGGTAGATGTCTTCACGGCACTTCTTCAGGATTTTATTCCTCAACAGAACAGACGAAGGGGAAGCATTCACATAGAAGTAGTCCTCAGGGGTGTCTTTTCCTGGACCGAGAGTGGCTCGACGGTAGTCGCCGAGATGGAAGATGTGAGTCTTAACTCCCAGCCATCGAAGATAGCGGGCCACAGCAACAGAGATGTGGGTTTTCCCTCGGGCCGGCAGTCCAACGGTGGCGATGACTATACGACCAGAGTGGAAGAGGCGACCAGATTCCGTGCTGTACAGCTGGGCTGGGGCCATCTCCTCCTTCTCGGGGAGATCATGAATAGCATCGACAAAGGTGCTTGATCTCCGTCGGAAGCGAGGCGAGCTGGCCGCCGCTTCGGCGGTTCTGTGAGGTGCTGGTTAGGCTCATGGCGCTTGTTGACAATGGGAGAAGACGACATAGACGAAGGAATATAACAGAAAGGTTTGATTAACACGCAAAGGAAATGTCGTACAATAAGGTATCCATGTTCAACAAAGTCAGTTAATCCCGCCTTTGAAGTCAATCGAGCCTCAACAACGGTTTTGCTGGATTTGTGGGTTCAATGGTGGTTGACGACGAAAAGACGTCCTCGGTGCTTGGTGATATATCCCGCTGCCCAACAGCCGGGTGTCTGGAGGTGAGCCTGATGGATGCGCTGGCGAATCAGTGCTGATAGGCAGATAGCGGGTGTCGTATCACGGGCTGGGCGGCATGTGTGGACATAGATGAGGAGGGTGGGGATATGCTTGCGGCGGCGATTCCTTCGAGATAGACGGTACTATGGTGTTGAGTGTGCCTGGGAGACGCGGGCAATTTCGTTGTAGAGGACAAAAGCAAGCCTCTGTGGTTGGTGTTGGTGCTGTCATGGTCTTGGGTCCATGATAGGCGGTCGTCCGATCGGCCCGAGAGACCTTCCTGACGGGTAACTCTAAACGGACCAACCCGACGACATCGGCATCACCACCATGATAGTGTTGAGGATAGACCTTCATCTCTCCTCTCTCCCTCATCTCTATTCTGAGGTGAGTCTAGGTCAATCCAAAAGTCCCGTAGCTCCCTTGGGGAGGGTTACTATTTGTGGTCTTAACTATCATCTCCCCACTCAGTGTCAATGTTGAAGAAGTACTTGGTCATAGAGACGCGAGTATATTTGCTTGTAGTCTCGAATTCCAACACCCTTCTTACCCACTAAGCTCCAAGTCCATTTTCATTACTTCTGTCATTCAATTTCCTTGATGCATTGAGGCGTCGCGAAGCATTTGGTCGCTCTGTGACACTCTCAGTCAAGGTGGTGGAGGCACAGCAGGACGAGCCATATGTACCTCCATAAGACCTTCTTTATCTTTCTCTTCTCTCTCTATAGTTTACTCACGCGCAGAAGATCACCTCCGCAAGATCCACATATCATGGACACTTCCTAGCTGACGTCCAATTTCACGGGTCCGTTATGGATCCCATCATTCCGAACCAAGACCTCCTCCCAGTTCTGATCATTGACACGCAAAGGGCTCGTCAACCAAAAATACGACCTCTGAATCAGCTTTCTACGCTACGGCCCTGTCTTTCAGAAGCAATAAGAGGACGAGTCGTCGATGCACAGCGATGCGGCAAAGAAATTGCGAGTTTAATAAGCCAACAGTATCAGTTCGATGCCGATCTTCTGGACTGGCCGTACAGTCCTGTTATCACCAAGAAGCAGATGAGGCATCCTCTCCATGAG